TTTCACTGTATTCCAACATGTCTAGATAGTCATGTGGTGCCAGCTTTTCATCCAGGAAATATCTTTTGCTTTAACTCACAATACCAGAAAAGAAGGTGCTGCATTCTCCTATGTTTTCTCTGAATAAGCCCTTCCTGAATCTTCACAGGACTTAGTAGTGTTTTCACGGAAAAGGGGGAATTATATTAAGTTCCCCCCTGAAAAAACACTCAGGTGACATCTGTGAGAAGATGCCTTAACCCAGCAGTTCTCAAACTTCCTAATACTGCAACCCTTTAATACAGCTCCTTATGTTGTTGTGGCTCCTAATCATAAAATTATTTTCATTGCTACTTTATAATTGTAATTTTTCTACTGTTATGAATCATAATGTAAATATCTGTTTTCTGATGGTCTTAGGTGACCCCTGTGAAAGGGTCATTCTACCCTCAAAGTGATCATGACCCATAGGCTGAGAACCACTGCTTTAACCAAAAAAAAAAAAAAAAAAAAAAACTGAAACAAGCACAGGTTGGGCTAATGGGCAGAGAATCTGGTTATTTGGTATGAGCATGTGGCATCTTCTTCAAAACTCTAATCAGTTCTCTAATTCTTTCTCAATCACTAGATCACTGCAAAGCAATGGAAGAGCTATGGCGTTCTCCAAAAGAATCCATGCTGTATTCCACAATGACAGTTTTACTACATGACAAGTCACAATCTTTCATCACCTACACATGATCCAGTAACAATGACAAAGCAGCTCCAGACATACAGGTGAAGTTGTACTTTGTCTTCCAACTACGAACACAAAATTAAACAATAGTTTGGGAATGCTTTGGATGACAGTCTTACATGATAATGCTGACAATGTTTTTCTTTGGACAGAAAAACCTGGTATTCATTAGTGTGTTGGGATTTCAGTGGGATAGAAACACTTGCATGCACTTGTATATTAGCAACTTTTATGCAAGTCAAAGGCCCTATTTTATTGACTTCCTTAGCTCATGCATTCTAAGCTATAATATATAAGCAGTGAATGTTCTAACTTTCTCAAATGCTCTGGGGTGAAGTTTGACCTAAAGCATTCACGGAGATTTCATACAGGTTTTACAAACCCCCACTGAAGTTCACAGCCTTGAAGGTACATGGGTTTCCTTTTGAGCAAAAGGACAGAGCCCACTAAATTGGATAAAGTAATTTCTTGTTGCTCCAGGCCACTAGCACTTACAACTCAATTCCTCAGAACTTTGGCTGTCTTAAACCTGTAGTGATTCATCTCCTCTTCAGTGATTTATAAATTTATAATACAACCATTCTTACAAATGAAATTATTTTACACATTTAGCTTAATTTCTGAGCCCTTATTTCTGATTTATCAGTGTCTACCTTATATTCTGTAACCAAAATATTTTCATGTTGGCTCTCTTAATGTAAAATGAAGTGTTGAGTATTTGAGTGTAGACTTGTCCTTGTAGAAGACACCATCCCTTTTAGCCTCCCATGAACTGGCCCTGGTTTTGCTCTCTGGACAATTTTATATATTTGTTATTGCATCTTCTTGTGCTATGTACCCCTCATGCTGCTGTTATTGTTTTATGTTCCTTAGTTCTTATTGCATATGGCTTTCCTAGGCAGTCTTTATGTTTTAGATATTGTCATGTCTTTCACATTTCCTTGTTTAGCCACAGATTTATTGTTTTTATCACTTAGAACCTTAAATCTTCAGTGTGTCTGAGTACTTTTTTTTTCTTACTCAGGAATTTATTTAGTTTGTTAGGTCACTAGTTACATTGCTGGGGTTTGGGACTTGGGACTCACTCATGGTAATCAAGCACTGGGCCACAGAGTTGTGTCTGAGACTCAAGCACATATTTTTATAACCATCACTATTCTCCACCTTCAGGATTTTATAACTACCACAGACTGAAGTGCTGTACTATTGAGCAATATGTATGCACTTCTCCCTTTTCTCAGCCTCTGGTAAACTTCAATCTACTTTTTGTCTCTATGAATTTGACTTGGTGTCTAGGTGTCTCATATGAGTTAACTCATGCAATATTTATGATATTGTATTTTTTTACTTTGTTTAGTAGAATGCTTTAATGATTAATCATTGCTGTCACATGTGTCATCAAAATCTCACTCTTGTTTAGGCCTGAAGAATGCTCTTGTGTCCATAGATATCACATTTTGTGTAATCATTCATCGTTCATGGGCATTCAGGTAGTTTCCATGTCTTAGCTCCTGCTGCTATTAATATCAAAATGCACATATTTGTATCTCTACTTTCAATGTCATGACTATATCCCTCCAAAGAGAATTACTATATCCTTGGGTAATTCTGTTTAAGTTTTAAGGAAATACCCCACTGTTTTCCATTCAAATGATCCAATTTTACATTTCCACTGGTGTAGCATAGGCCTTCCAGTTTCTTCCCATTCTTGTCAATTATCCTTTCTGTTCTGTTAAAGTAACAGGCTAATGGATTTATTTTAGTTATGTTACATTGTTTTGCAATTGTGGCTAGTGATCTTGACTGTCACTCTAAATGCTTATTGATATCAGTATATCTTCTTTGGAAAAATCAAGTTTTCTGCCTATTTTTGAGTAAGTTGCTTTTATGTTGCTGACTTTTATGGACTTTATGTAGTCCAGATATGAATCTCTTCATGGATGTACGATTTACTTGTAGTTTCTCCATGCTCTGTGAATTGCCTCTTCACCATTACTTGTGCTCTTTGTATAGAGAATTTTCATTTCCAGTTCAGCCAATTTTTCTTTTGTTGCCAATTCTTTTGGTGTCACATTCAAGAAATCATTGCTAAATTCAATTTCATGAAGGTTTTTTTTTCGTATTTTCTTTACCATTTTCTAACTTTTGTTCATTTATGTGTCTTTCAGTTAATTTCTACATATCTATTATAGGGTCTTACTTCCTTCTTTTGCATGTGGATGGTCTGTACACTCAACCCTCCCCCACACCTTTCAGGAATTTTTGTGTGTAGATTTATAAGACATATTGTTTATAAGACTTCTCTCTTACTAACTTTACTTGGTTTTGGTATCAGGGCAATTATTGCTTCATAAAAATGAGTTGAGACATGCGCTTTTGCTTTCTGGGAAAAATTGTGTCAAACTAATTCTTTTTCCAGTGCTAGTGACACTGTCTAAGTTTGGTGGTTTCCTTTGGAACAGCTTGTCATTTATGATGCTTTTTAGCAGTAGTTCCAGGGCTATTCAGGATTACCTTATTATAATAATATAAAATTATATTATTATACGGATTATATAGTTTACTTTGTCAGCACGTTCACTTTTCATTGAGACGAGAAACTACATCTCAATAAATGTTTCCTGGCTTTTGCATCCTCACAAGTCCTCATATAAGAAAGTAAATAGAAAATATTACACCAAAGTCCCCATGAGCAGCATGGGTGAGTGGAGAATTAGGGCCATTTGAGCAACTTTCAGCATTGATGAATTTATTGACATTAGTTGTATGAATGGAAAAATAGAATTTGATAGGCTAAGAATAGTGATGAACCATCTGTTCCATGATTCTGTTTTTTAAAGATTTCTTTTTATTTATGTGTATGTATGTGTGTCTGTATGTTTGTATGTGCACCATGTGAGTGAGGGCACCAATGAAGCCAGAAGATGGTGCCGGATCTACTAGAGTTGGAGTCACCTGGGACCCATCCTATTTGGGTGCTGGTAACTGAACCTGGGACCTCTAGAAGAGCAATGTGTGCTCTTAAGGGCATCTCTTCAGCACCAGCCCCTGCCGTGATTCTCTTTTGACATGGAAGTTACTGCACTGAGAGAACTTTGTGAACAGACAAGTCAAGGGGAATGATGAGTATCTACTGTTCACTAGGAAACTGTCTTAAGTTATTGAGTAAAATAGTGCATTAAGAGATAAAAGTTGCTGTTTTATAATCTTCCATTCAGTTATAGGATCAGATACCATAACTTAGGAATAGCTGAGGATGGAGAAGGGTGACTCCCTCAATTCCAAGATTAAAATCTTATGGTTGGTTTTGTGAATGTCTTTCGGTGTAAAGTGAGTATTCCCAATAATACCAATACCTTCCAAGGCTTGCGAGAGAGTTAGACAGGGAGTAGGGTTGGGGTTGCAGTTGGACCACAATGTAGCCTTCCAAGCTTCACCACAAACATCAGTCAACAAAAAAAACATGCGGTCTCTTGCTCCCCAGAGGCCCTGTCCACATAACCAGTTAGTCTCCTTAACTGTCAAGATCAGTCTTGACATTACATTGAGCCGGCCAGGTTTTGCCCAGGTCAGGGAAGGCAGGCAGTCAAGGCAGACTGGTGCAGGCGTGAATGAAACAACAGGTCAACAGGTCAACTGACCCGGAGTTTCCTAGTCGAGAGTATCAAAGCGATTGTGAATTGGACCAAGAGTCCATCTTCTCCTAAACGCCAAATTCTTAATCTAAGCAATCACCTTAAGATGTGTCTTCAGTGTCTGCCCTACAGAGCTTCCTTCCAGGAAAGGCACGCATCCCCAGGGACACCTTCACTTGAATTGCTGCCGCCATCCAAAGCAGAAGGTAACTCCTTTGGCTCAAGGGACCATTGCTGATGAAAGGACATGACCGAGCAGAGGTTACAGAAGGTGATTCTGATTCTTGCACCTCTTGACCTTTCAGAGGGCCAGCCAGCTACAAGGCACCAAATATCTCCTGGGAAGTTATTTCGCTTGCAAAATCTCAGGGCCAGTCAGTTGAATCCGAATCTGCATTTCAATTCATAGACTCATTAAAGTTTGCGAAGCACGGGACCAAGGGATGGCAAAGAGGCTCCTAGCTAGCGTCCTGATGTAGCGCAGCTCCGCAAAGGTCCTACACAAGATTTGGGCAAACTGGGATACATGAGGAAGGGACATGCAGGAGCAGCCCGCAGGGGGATGGTAGAAGGAAAGTGTAATCCGATTGGCTGCTTTCTCCAGCTCCAGCGTGCAGACACTCCCTCCACACTCCCCCCTTTCACCCCCCCTCAATTGCTACAGCTTTCTTACAGCCGGCTGCCCTGAAAACCCGGAGCAGCTGAGTAGTCTCAGCGGACAGTCCTCCTAGGGGCGAAACCAGGCGGCTTGGGCATGCTCAGTTGCTGGGAGAGGTTTGGGAGGAGAGTAGAAAGCTTTGGCTCTGCCCCCACCCGCTCCGCAGGCCCCCGCCCCCCTTGCCCCTACCCAGCCGTAGTAGTTCCCCAGCGTGCGCCCGGGGAGAGCAGGAACATGGCGCTCGGAGCGATATAGCAGATGTAGCAGCAGAGGAGAAGCAGATGAGGTACCGCGGCTTCGCTGCTGACAGCCAGCCACCAGGTAGGCAGGCGCACGGGGCAGGTCGGCTTGCATGGGTAGCGGCTCCAGAAACGGCGCTTGCCAAGATGCGCACGGCTGCTACGCCGGGCATCTGGCTTTGCCCAGAGAGGATGCGAAAGGAGACCTCTATGACAGCACAATTGATTGTGCATCTCCTAAGAGATGCCAAAGGCTAGGGTCCTCCGAAGATGGGCAAGGGATCCGGGGTCCGCCCACTCCCCAACCCCCAACCCATGCAATATCATCCAGCCTGGGCTCTTCACCGGTCAAATAAAGGATAGCGCTTTTATGCTGGGATGGAGGGCGTAGGAGATCACCCTGGATGCAAGCTCTAGGAGTCTGCTGGTACCCCGAAAGGCTACCAAGCTCGGCACCAGTTCTTTGTGTATGTACTCGCGCACGCCCTGCCGATGGTACGACAGTGCCTGCTGCTCCCAGGGGGTGCTGGATGCATTGCCAGGGCAGGGTTCCCATATGGTTTTTGTCTTTTAGCAGGTGTGGACCACAAGATGCAATAGCGAAACCTTTATGGGACTGTGTTTTCCTTTGTTATTTGTCTCTGTCTGCTCGCTTGGTGGGTAGCAATGGATTGGGAAAGAACTTCTGCAGGTGAGCACCGGTAGGCAGAATGTGGAAGAGAACCTCACTTCCAAACTGGTTAAAATTGTGTGCAATGTCAACCTCCTAGAGGATAAACTTAAAAAGTCTCGAGACTGTCGGTGTCCAGTTTGGAGCACAAGTGTGAGCATCCTTTTTTGAAACCGTGTGTATCTGGAGCTTTCCGTTGGGATAGGGTAGAAGTTAATTGCCAGCGTTCACATCTCAGTTAAGGGAACCCTAGCCCTGTACAGGGCTATGTGAGGAGGTCTTTTAAATAAAGAAAAAAAGAAACCAGAAGAAAGTGTCATGGTCAATAGTTAATAACAGCTTGGAAAACTGAGTATACTTCTGGAGAAATGGAGAGACCTGGCCACAGGGTCTTTCTTCACAAAATATCAGAGATCCTCTAGTGGGATTTGGTGGCATGCGGCAACTTCTTTAATTTGAGTCCAGATGGACAAGGTACTCCTTGCAGAAGCCCCTCCCACACCAGCCTTCTTGAAGTTGACATTCTACAACAACAGCTGTGACACCTTACATTTGTATCTGTTATGATCAGCAGCATGGCCCACTGGGAGAGAGGAAAGGTAAATTTAGAACATGCCTTTATTTCTTGTTTTATCATTTAAGGCTGTGCATCTGTCTGTGACTATGAAGTTTAGCTACTTTCCTCTGCACTTACACTCTCTATTCTTATGATCTTGTTAGGTGGCAAATGAGTCAGTATCAGGGAAATGAAACAGAGAGTGCAAGAAGGAAATGCATTTAAGTAAATTAAAGCTGCAAATGTCCAATCTGATAAGACCTTGACTTTGAATATACACGTGCAAAGCAGAACTTCTAATGAAAGCAGTAGAAGTTGATGGCGAGTTCATTAATACTTGTATTAGAACAAACTGTGTTCCTCTGTGAACAACGGATTGATTGTACCATCATTACAGGTTATCCCTTAATTAAAAAAATGTGAGTTTTGATTATAGGCATTAAAAACCAGGTTATCAATGCCTCTTCTACATCCTCAGAGTTTGCTGCATTGGATAGGTATGAAAGGCAGGTGTTCAGGGATACAGTGTCATCTTGGTGATGAAATAAAGCTAAATTTGAACTCTAGTTCTTCTGTATTTAGCTCTGTGATTTTTGTGCAAGCTATTTAATTTCTTCATCAGCAATACAGGTCTGTGAGTAGCAAAGCCCACGTAAATGGGTAAACGTGGGCATTGCTAACAATATGAAGCACTGGGACATGGTGGCCATCCTTTTTGAAAAGGAAATGTATGTGTTTGGAACCAATATTATATGTGTTGATTATACAAGTCAGATTAAGACACATGCTTTCACTTAAGTGTTCCAAATTGGTTTGTTTCTTAGCATTGACATAACCATTCACCCCAAACTTGGTAGCTTAAAGCAATAGGAATTTATTGTATTACAGATTGGGGCATTTTAGGTCCAACACCAGGGTGTTAGCAGAGTGACCTTCTGGTGCTATTAGAAAGAGTGCATGCTCCCCAACTCAGGCTCTCACAGTCTCAGGCATTCTGCCTCTAACTTTATCTTGTATGGCCTCTTCTCTGTGTCTATTCATTTGTCAAGATTTCAGTCTTCATATAAGGAATTCCTAAATTCCTCAATTCCTCTGGATTTTAGAGCTTACTCTGGTTATGCCTTAACTCAATTACATCTGCAAAAATCTATCTTCCAAATTAGGTCACATGGACAGGTTCTGGGTTGTCATGAATTTGGGGGAGACAGAATTTTACTGTTTACTAACCTTCCTTATAATATTGATAGCATCAATACTGTGCGAGCAAGTTTCAAAACATAAAGAAAGATTTGAGTTCAGGAAACACTTCAAAGAATATGTAATCCAACTAATTTATTAAAGTTTTGTATTCTCAAGTATGATAGTGAAGAGCAGGATCATAGACACCTCGCTTATGTATCACACAGAAACTGCAACAAGCCGGGACTTGGGTCTTCTATAGATGCCCCTAAGTGATTTTACATAATCTGCTCCCCTTTGGCTGTACTAACAAGACAACACAGAACAGTAAAAAGAACAGCAAAATGAATAAATAAATGAAAATGCTACATAACTTTTCTTTTAAAAATATTTTCAATTTTTTTGTTTGTTTGTTTTTTTTGTTTTTCGAGACAGGGTTTCTCTGCGTAGCTTTGCGCCTTTCCTGGAGCTAACTTGGTAGCCCAGGCTGGCCTCGAACTCACAGAGATCCACCTGGCTCTGCCTCCCAAGTGCTGGGATTAAAGGCGTGCGCCACCACCGCCCGGC